AGAGTAAACATGCCGATTGGCACGATCTTGAATCATTCTTCTGGGTCGTGTTATTTGTTGTCCTCCGGCACACCAGCTGCTACTACACCAAGGGCGGAAAGAAAATTGCTGGGGCCGAACAACTGCCGAGGTTATATGACAACATTGAAAATATCTTTGCGATCCGAAAGGACTTTCTGGAAACCATCCTCAAAACCTTGGAGATCATCGGCAATGCTCCTTTGACGGTTTGTCTCCGTCGGCTCGGCGATCTGGTCCTCAGTCACTACCGCCCTGACAGGTCAAGATATGCCCAACACGAGCTGGACCTGCTCACTCACGACCGAGTCGTGTTCACAATCCAGGAAGCTCTGGACTCGGAGGGCTGGCCGGACGAAGCGAATGATGGACCCCGTGTTTTCAAGATGCTTGATCGGACAAGTGTGAAGCAAAATAAAGCCATCGCTCTCTCTCTCCACCAGTCGAGGGCCGAGGGGCCCGACGAGAGCAAGCAAGCCCCAAAGCCTGGTCCCTCGCAGAAACGCAGGGTGGAAGAGCTCGATGACGATGATTCCGAAGAAGACGTCGCACGTCCGTCCAAGCAAATCCGAATCCGAAAGGCAGGGCCACTTGCAGCCGCTAGCCAGAAACGAAAACAGTTGCCTGTGGAGGCAGAAGAAGAGGACGAGCCTCAAGCATCGGTTAGCAAGAAGCCCCGTGTCCGACCGCCAAAGAAGGCAGCGCCTCGTCCTGCGAAGGCTCCCAAACCACCCGGTCCTAAGAACGCTGCGAGTCAGCGATCTCGCGGTAGAAAGGCCGTTGCTACCGCTTCTCGAGTTCGGGAAACCACCTCGAGGATAGGCTCTCACAAAACACGTTCAGGTCGGATGTACTAACGTTTCAAATTGTCTGCGTTCTTAATCTGCTGGGTATCCTACGCTCATCGCTGTAGCTCTAGTCGTTCCTCTGCTTTGTTCCGCTTCTACCATCTACTTCCTTGGATATATCCTATCTATTATACATTTAGGTGGTTAAGCTCTTTGGAGTATAGATTGTATACCCTCTTCAACGTTATACCGCTTACCCTGGTTTATACCCGTCCTGTATTTTCAGCGTTGTATAACCTCTGCTTGTGTTCCAGTCTCATATGTCTCATCCGAGGCTTGAGCTCATCGCTCCTCACACAATAACCTGGCTGACACCCCGTGAGGTGCCCTGAGTGTTATTGTGATAATCACTGCGCAAGATCACTGCCTCCAACGGTATAGCCATTCTCAAACGTTTCGTCAATCGCAACAGCGGCAGATATAAATAATTTACTCGTGCTTATACGCGCCCAGGACCGACCGGAAAGAACCCTAAGCCGACGCGAACCCGTTCAGAATGTCAGCAGCCTTGAACGGCTCGCCCTTGTCCACAAAGTCCAGCAAGAGAAAGTTCGGCGCGCGCCCGTCCGCGAACTGGGTGCACCCGTAGGCGTTCGCTAGGATCCTGTCCGACACACCCGCATCAATTAATCAGCGTGCACAAAGGCAAGGGGAAAACGTACGAAGAGACACCGTTGGTGGTGGGCGCGTCAGCAGGGTCGCTCACGATGATGCCCGTGTCAAGCACGTTCTTGTTGAGCGAGTGGTTGATCATGTACAAGTGCTCGTCGTTGGGGAGCGGCCCGCTGGTGCGGTCGACCGAGCACGGGAAGCTCGGGTCGGTCACGCTGAACGGGGTCTCCCAAACCTATCACAATCACCCTCGTCAGCCGCAGGCCGCGGACGAGAACGGCAGTGCACGTATACGCACGTTGGGGAACTCCGACAGGATATACGGAACCGTCGACCCATCGTCCGCGCCCGCGTCCATGAACACGACCACGCGCTTCCCCGAGCTGATGAGCTCGCCGAGCGTCGGCCAGTCGCTCTGCTTGACGGGCGTGCTGGGCGGCACGTACGCGAGGTCGGCGACGCCCGAGTTCTGGAAGGCGGGGTCCCACTGGTCCTTGATGGACAGGCCCTCGGGGTTGGTGAAGACGAAGGTGAGGACTTCGTTCGGGTTGGCGTCCAGCCAAGCCTTGACGGTCTTCAGGTAGTCCTCGACGGTGCCGCCGTCGAAGAGGAGCTGACGGGAGCTCAGTTGTGGAGGAAGAGCAGGCTGTTATGCCGGACTAGGACTTACGCAGCCTGGGATGATTGATTAGCATCGTTTACCTCAGGGGCATATGAGAATGTAGACTTACTAGTATGGCAGAAGTGTAGCTCGCCATCATTCCTTAATACAGGGAACAGATGTTAGTCTCTTATATCACCGTGTAGACACCAATCTCTCACTCGTGAGACTGCGCCTGGAGGAGCCGGACACCAAGGTTCAGCTGGGACGTGATGTCGACTTCTTGGTCGCGGGCCACTATAATACCGTGAATAGACTGTATTAGGGTAATGAGACGCAACTCGGATATACCTGTACTTACAGGCGAGGGGGTCGTCGCTGTACGCGAAAGAGTCGTGTGCTGTGAAGTATAGCTCAGTTCCGACCGGTATCAAAGCACACTTGCAAGTAGCGGCGAGACAGAGTCGAAGCGACCCTGGAAGCTAGTTACGACTTTGGCTTGCCCAGCATTGCAAAGCCTCCTCGCAGAGACTTCTCAGTGGACTCAGAGTGTTGGATCAAGATGAAGCTGTCCGTTTGCCACATTACGGTGCCACACAATCAGCCACTGCGGGATCTGCCGCCGCCCCATCCCCTCGCCCCTTGGTACCCAATTCCAGCTTGGACTGACTC